ATGTTCTTATAAATTACGTGGAAATTACATACACTGTGAGAAGTGTTGTAATTATTGTGTAATGTGTATTATAATTTTGCCTATCGAAGTAACAAAGTCTCGTAATTAAAGCAATAAATGTGTTGATAGATTATCACAATTGATAAGTAATTGATAAATTATCTTCTTTTCCCCTTAACCCTTTTTCATATCAAGTCTGATCTAGCTTATTTTCTTATTCATAGAGCTGCTTAACTGTAGGCACAGACCTATACCCCTGCCCTTTTAATATTCTTTCTTCCTCCTGCTAAATTCCACTGTATGGCAGGTGAAAAAATAGTTGTGTATATTTCATTTCTCAAAGAGGTTACTAATATGAATCAATAATTGAATCGTTAAAATCAAATGATCATTTGAGACATTTTGAGAAGATACATTTCATTCAGCATTTATGTTCTAGAGATCTTCAAAATATGGACATATTAGAAAGAAAATAGTATTCTTAAATTGGTCTTATGGTAGATTTTCAAAAATTTTACTCCATAATAGATTTCTGCAGATCTACAATATTTTCAAAATTTTTTCACACTGATGTCGATATTCTTGTGTCCAGAGTAATTGACACCTAACACAGGCCTGAAGACTTAAGTCTAAGAGTTCTTTTTAAAAAGTGTTTGTCATCAAATTTTTTTGTTCAGGGCTAGGAATTTGTTACTTTGACAACTGTGGTTATTTATTGTTGAAATTTTGGATGAATTATGAAAAATACAAGAGGCTATGTGATGGTAATCTCATTAATAGTGAAAATGAGATAAGCCAGAATGATGAGAAAATAATTTCTTCAGAAACATATAATGGGAAAAGCAGATGTTTTATCTTTAAAGATACTGGGCACTGTTGTGGTTTTTATCTATCTTCATAACACATTTTTAATTATCTCCACAATTATCAAAAGTTGCATCTTCCGTTCATTCAAATTCTAATACCCATATTGGACTCAATTAGTGAGGGATGTAGATTTTACAAATGAACTGGGAGCAGCCACAAAACTCCCTTTCCCTTTTCTCAACCACTGGGAAAATATATCCTCCACTCTTTGTCTAGATTTGAGAACTGTCAAGCTATCAATTATTTTGACCACGTGTGATTTTATCTCCCAAGCTCTCACATGAAACAATAGAAAGGGTCCTTCTCTTTCCTGGATGCCCCTTTGATGCCTGGTAACCCCTCCTCTTTGTATACTCCCCCATCCCCAACTTTCTCTCTGCTGGAGGTCTAATTACAGGCCATGGGATGGAGGAAGAGGAATTTTTTTTTTTTTTTTTGAGACAATCTCACTCTGTCACCCAGGCTGGAGTGTGGTGGCCCCATCTCGGCTTACTGCAAGCTCTGCCTCCCGGATTCACATCATTCTCCTGCCTCAGCCTCCCAAGTAGCTGGGACTACAGGCGCCCACCACCATGCCCGGCTAATTTTTTTTATTTTTAGTAGAGATGGGGTTTCACCATGTTAGCCAGGATGGTCTCAATCTCCTGACCTTGTGATCTGCCTGTCTCGGCCTTCCAAAGTGCTGGGATTATAGGAGTGAGCCACCGTGCCCAGCTGAGGAAGAGGAATTTGTATAGAATTGTAGGGGTGGAAAGGGAGTAGGTAGACAGAGAAATAGAGAATGTCTTTTGGATAGCCCCTGGGTGTCGGAATCATTTTTCTCATGAAGATATTGATATATGTGCCAATTAGGCTTTTGAGACAGATGAGTGCTTACAATTTACCCTCATTTGATTCAGGAACTATCTGTGTGTCAGGCACTTCACAGCCCTAATCTCTTCTAATCCTTGTATCAATTCCTGTGAAATGGCACCATGCCCACTTGACAGCTGAGGAACTAAGACTCAAAGACTTTAGCTTGTCATTTCATCCTGTTTCTAAACCCCTGATTATTAACTTGCCTCTTTGTAAATTGGGGATGCTTATCATGATGTTCCTTCCTAAAGGAGGTGTTTCTGAAATGACAGTTCTGTCTTTGGAGCCTTAGAAGTTATTCATATTCCAAAAAACTTATGATCTGAAATGTGGTTTTTATTAACAACCAGTAGTTACAGAAATGTTTTACAGGAAATTCTACAAAAAAAAAAAAAAAAGATAGATACGTAAAATGTGAGTATAAACTTGAAAATTGTTTGACTGGAATTGACTAAAATTGTGCTGGAAAAATACCTTAAACATTTGGAGAGACAGCTAACCCATGATTTCTTTTCTCATTAACCATTTATGTGCGGAGATAAAGGGATGGATGGAGGGACACATTCTGCTCTCAGGGAGCTCAGTATGTGGTGCAGGAAACAGATATGCAGCCATTCTTTTTTTTCTTTTTTTTCGAGACGGAGTCTTGCTCTGTCACTCAGGCTGGAGTGCAGTGACGTGATCTCGGCTCACTGCTACCTCTGCCTCCCAGGTTCAAGCGATTCTCCTGCCTCAGCCTCCCCAGTAGCTGGGATTACAGGCGCCTGCCAC